TACCATTGGGAACCCCCTATTGACCATCAGACACCCCCATTGACCATTGAGTACCCCCCCATAGCCTCAAGTACTGTACCTGGTACAGACCCAGCACCCTCCCATTGATGCCATTGGGGATCCCCCCACTGAGACTGTTGGGGACCATTGGGGACCCCCCCATTAATACCATTGTGGACCCCCCCCATTGACCATCAGGGAGCCACCCATTGGGTATCCTCCTTATAACCTCAAGTACAGGCAAGGGACCACCCCCCCCACCCCAGGCAACTGGTGACCCCCCCATCAACCATCAGGGACCCCCCATAACCATCGGGGACCCCCCCCATCAACCATCAGGGACCCCTCATAACCATCGGGGACCCCCCCATCAACCATCAGGGACGCCCCCATAACCATTGGTGACCCCCCCCATCAACCATCAGGGACCCCTCATAACCATTGGGGACCCCCCTCATCAACCATCAGGGACCCCCCATAACCATCAGGGACCCCCCTATCACCTCCACAGGATCCCCCATAACCATTGTGGACCCCCTTGGGGTGATTGGGGACCTCCTTGAAGACCCCCCCCGATACCATTGACCCCCCCTAGGGCTCATCCAATCCCCCCCCAATGGATGGGGACCAAAGTGGTCCCCCCCTTGTATCTCTACCCCTATAGTGCAGCATCACCCCCAACCCCATCACCCCCTTTCCCCCTCCCAGAGCCCCCCCCCTTTGGCTCCTCATTCCCCCCCTGACACCCCCTTTTCTTACCCCCCCCCCCCAAAAGACCAAATGTGACCTAAGGCACCCCCCTGGCAATGAGATCTACCGCAAGGGCACCATCTCCTTCTTCGAGATCGATGGGCGCAAGAACAAGGTAAAACACGATAAAGGGGGGACAAAAGGGGGGTCCCCTATTTTAGGGGACCCCCCCTCACTTTATGGACCCCCCCCCAGAGCTATTCCCAGAACCTTTGCCTATTGGCCAAGTGCTTTCTGGACCACAAGACGCTCTATTACGACACCGACCCCTTCCTCTTCTATGTCATGACCGAGTACGACTGCAAAGGGTTCCACATCGTTGGGTACTTCTCCAAGGTATTGGGGGGTCCTGGGGGGGTTTGGGGGGGTCATGGGGGGGTTGAGGGGGTTTGGGGGGGATTGAGGGGGGTCTGCACCTGAGAATTGAGGGGATTTGGGGGGGAATTGAGGGGGTTTGGGGGGTCCTGGGGGTGGTTGAGGGGGTTTTGGGGGGTTTGAGGGGGTTTAAGGGGGGTTTCAGGGTCCTGGTGGGGGGTTCATGGGATTTGGAGGGGGGTTGGGGGGGTTTAAGGGGGGCGTTTGGGGGTCCGGGGGGGGTTGAGGGGGTTTGGGGGGGAATTGAGGGGGTTAGGGGGGTTTAAGGGGGGAATTTGAGGGGTCCTGGAGGGGGTTGAGGGGGTTTTGGGGGGGTTGAGGGGGTTTGGGGGTTTAAGGGGGGGTTTGGGGGGTCGGGGGGGGGTTGATGGGGTTTTTGGCGGTTTGATGAGGTTTTGAGGGGGTTTGGGGGGTTTAAGGGGGGGGGTTGGGGGTCCTGTAGGGGGTTGAGTGGATTTTGGGAGGGTTGAGAGGGTTTTGGGGGGTGTTAAGGGGGGGGGGTTCTGGGGGGGGGGATTGAGGGGGGTTTGGGGGAGAATTGAGGGGGTTTAACGGGGTGTTTGGGGTTCCTGAGGGGGGTTGATGGGATTTGGGGGGGGGTTGAGGGGTTTTTGGGGGGTTTAGAGGGCTTTGAAGGGGTTTTGGGGAGGTTTTGGGGTTTTTTGAAGGGGTTTATGGGGATTTCAGGTGGTTTTTGGGGTCTCCCCCCCCTCAATTGCCTTCGGTGCCCCCCCCAGGAGAAGGAGTCCACCGAGGACTACAACGTGGCCTGCATCCTCACGCTGCCGCCCTACCAGCGCCGGGGCTATGGGAAGCTGCTCATTGAGTTCAGTGAGTGACCCCCCCAAAACAACCTGGTACCCCCAAACCCCCCCCTCAAACCCATTGGGAGACCCCAAACGTCTTGGATGGGGGGGAAAGAACCCCGAAATCCCCTTGAGGGGGACCCCAAAATACCCTTGGGGACCCCAAAATCCCCTTGGAGGATCCCTTTTAGCTCCCCCCCTGCCCCAAAACAAAAGAGGTACCCCCAAACCCCCCCCCTCAAACCCATTGGAACACCCCAAACACCTTGGGTGGAGGGGAAAAGAACCCCAAAATCCCCTTGGGGACCCCAAAATCCCCTTGGAGGATCCCTTTTGGCTCCCCCCTGCCCCCAAATACACCCATGGGTATTGGGGGACCCCCCCCCTGGTTTGCAGGTTATGAGCTCTCCAAGGTGGAGGGGAAGACGGGGACCCCCGAGAAGCCGCTCTCGGACCTGGGGCTCCTCTCGTACCGGAGTTACTGGTCCCAAACCATCCTGGAGATCCTCATGGGGCTGAAGGCAGAGGGAGGGGAGCGGCCCCAGATCACCATCAAGTGAGGACACGCCCCCTTACCCGAGGCCACGCCCCCATTTCACTTTAGGCTCCACCCCCTTCATTAAGCCCAACACCCATGCGTTATCACCCCCCCCGCCGCCACCCGTGGATGCCAGCTCTATGGGGAATAGGCTCCTCCTGACCACGCCCCCTTTGTAGGCCACACCCCCTTTCCCATTTAGGCTCTGCCCCCTCCGTTAAGCTCCACCCACATTCATTACCATCCCTCTCCCCCCATCCCTGTTATTGGATGCCAGCTCTATGTAGAATGGGCTCCTCCTGACCACGCCCCCTTCGTAGGCCGCACCCCTTTCCCTTTAGGCTCCACCCCTTCATTAAGCCACACCCCCATTCCTTATCATCCCTTCCCCCCCATCATTGGATCCCACCTCTATGTGGAATGGGCTCCTCCTGACCACGCCCCCTTTGTAGGTCACACCCCCTTGCCCTTTAGGCTCCACCTCCATTCATTATCCATCCCTCTGCCCCATCCCTGTCATTGGATCCCAGCTCTATGGGAACAGGCTCCTCCCCTGGCCACACCCCCTTTCCTTTAGGCTCCGCCCCCATTCAGTAACCTCTCCCATCCCTGCCTTGGATCCCAGCTCTATGGGGAACTGGCTCCTCCCCCTGGCCACGCCCCATTTCCCCATAGGCTCCACCCCGTCCATTAAGTCCCACCCCCATTCATAGTCCCCATCTCAGCTCTATGGGGAACAGGCTCCCCCCTGGCCACGCCCCCTTGCCCTTTAGGCTCCGCCCCCATTCATTAACTCACATCCCTCCCATTGGATCCCACCTCTATGGGGATCTGGCTCCTACTCCTGGCCACGCCCCTTCCATAGACCCCACCCACACCTTTTAGCTCCACCCCATTGGAGCCTCACCTCGATGCCACACCCCTTTATAGACCCCGCCCCTTTCACTGAGGCCACGCCCCCATCCCTATCGCTGCCATAGCAAAAAGGGGGGGGGGGAGAGTTTGGGGGAGGATTTAAAGGGTAAGGGGGGGTTCATTGGGGTCCTGGGGGGCTGAGGGGGCCTTGGGGGGGTCAAGGAGTGTTTTGGGGGTTCAAACCCCCCTTGGTGTCACCCCCCCCCAGTGAGATCAGTGAGATCACCAGCATCAAGAAGGAGGACGTCATCTCCACGCTGCAGTACCTCAACCTCATCAACTACTACAAGGTGACCCTAACCCCCCTCATGTCCCCTATACACATAGGGGGACCCCCCCCTTTGTACCCCCAAGCTTGACCCCTATAGAGGAGTGAGGGGTTGGGGGGAACACCCAAAGCAACCCCTATAAAGGATCCAGGTGTTGGGGGGACCCCAAATCCCTCTATAGGGAATACCATATCACTCCGTATAGAGAACCCAGTTCTTGGGGGGACCCCAAATCACCCCCAATAGTGGACCAAGGGGTTGAGGGACTCCAAATCACCCTATAGGTAACTCCAAATCACCCCCTATAGAGAACCCAGAGGTTGGGGGTGGGACCCCAAATCGCCCCCTATAGAGGACCCAGATGTTAGGGGGCACCCCAAATGATCCCCTATAGAGAACCCAGAGGTTGGGGGGACCCCAAATCACCCCCTATAGAGAACCCAGAGGTTGGGGGGACCCCAAATCACCCCCTATAGAGAACCCAGAGGTTGGGGGGGACCCCAAATCACCCCCTATAGAGAACCCAGAGGTTGGGGGGACCCCAAATCACCCCCTATAGAGAACCCAGAGGTTGGGGGGGACCCCAAATCACCCCCTATAGAGAACCCAGAGGTTGGGGGGACCCCAAATCACCCCCTATAGAGAACCCAGAGGTTGGGGGGGACCCCAAATCACCCCCTATAGAGAACCCAGAGGTTGGGGGGACCCCAAATCACCCCCTATAGAGAACCCAGAGGTTGGGGGGGACCCCAAATCACCCCCTATAGAGAACCCAGAGGTTGGGGGGACCCCAAATCACCCCCTATAGAGAACCCAGAGGTTGGGGGGGACCCCAAATCACCCCCTATAGAGAACCCAGAGGTTGGGGGGACCCCAAATCACCCCCTATAGAGAACCCAGAGGTTGGGGGGGACCCCAAATCACCCCCTATAGAGAACCCAGAGGTTGGGGGGACCCCAAATCACCCCCTATAGAGAACCCAGAGGTTGGGGGGGACCCCAAATCACCCCCTATAGAGGACCCAGAGGTTGGGGGGACCCCAAATCACCCCCTATAGAGAACCCAGAGGTTGGGGGGCACCCCAAATCACCCCCTATAGGGCTCAGCCCCCCAACGTGTGGGTCCCGGTGCCCTCTAGGGTCAGTACATCCTGACGCTGTCGGAGGACATCGTGGAGGGCCACGAGCGGGCGATGCTCAAGCGGGTGCTGCGCATCGATGCCAAGTGCCTGCACTTCACCCCCAAGGACTGGAGCAAGAGGGGCAAGTGGTGAGGCCACGCCTCCCTCTTGACCACGCCCCCTCCTTAAGGACACGCCTCCACCCTTCTTTTGGTCACGCCCACCTGTTATTAAACACCCAGCACTTGGCGCCTTTATTGAATGGGGTGGGCGGGGCTTGCGCAGGCTCCGCCCATAAAGGGGGTGGGGTTTGTCAGGGCTCCTCCTCCTCGTCGCTGTCAGGGACCGGAGCGTGGATCTATGGGGAGAAACAACGGGGAGAAGAATGGGGTTGGGAGGCACGAGCATGGGGGTGAAGGGGTTCCTGCCCTGCCCCCCAAGTGTGGGGACTGGGACTGGGGGCCCCCAAGTGTGGGGCTGAGGGGTGCCCATCCTGCCCCACAAGTGTGGAGCCTGGGATTGGAGACCCCAAGTGTCAGGGACCTCCCATCCTGCCCCCTAATTGTGGGGCCTGGAATTGAGACCCCCAAGTGGCAGGGGCCCCCCAAGTGTGGGTCCTAGGACCTCCCATCCTGCCCCCCAAGTGTGGTCACTGGGACTGGAGACCTGCAAGTGTCAGGGACTCCCCACAAATGTGGGGCTGAAGGGTTCCCATCCTGCCCCCCAACTACTGGAGACCCCAAAGTCTGGGTCCTAGGACCCCCCTCCTGCCCCCCAAGTGTGGGGCCCAGCACTGGGAACCCCCAAAGACACCTGGCCCCCCCCCATGCGGGTCCCTCCCTGCTGCACCCTAAGTGTGGGTCCCGGCCCAGCCTCACCGCCTGAGCGATGTCCGCCCACTGCAGCGCCAGGGCCAGACCCCCAGCGGGGGGGACGCCATCGGCCCCCCAGTCCCTGATGGCATCGAACGTCCCCATCACTGCCACGCACCGGCCCTGTGGGGGGGGGGGCAGACTCAGTGTGGGGCAGCCCCACAGCTCGCCTCATAGAGAGGGGTTGGGGGTGTCACCTGCCCCCCAAGCGTGGGGCAGCCCCACAGCTCGCCCCATAGAGCAGGGTTGGGGGTGTCACCTGCCCCCCAAGCGTGGGACAGCCCCACATCTCGCCCCATAGAGCGGGTTAGGGGTGTCACGTGCCCCCCAAGTGTGGGGCAGCCTCACCTCATCGCCATGGGGCGGGTCCCCTTCCTTCAGCACCATCCCCCGGTAGCCGTGGGGCAGAGGCAGGTCCCGGCCCCCCATGCGCCGGCCCCGGAACGAAGCCCACAGCTCTATGGGGCAGGGGTGGGAGGGGGGAGGAAATGTGGGGCAGGGGGTCAGCAGCCCCACACTTTGCCCCATAGCGCTGTTGGGCCCCACAGCACAGCCCCGGCAGCACGTAGAGAGGCTTCCCCCTCACCCACTCTGCCCCACACATCCCCCGGCCCCACAGCGCTCCCCGGCCCCATAGGAGCTCGCTCACCGCCTCCGGGCCCGGGCTGCACCCGCAGGAAGGCGGCCACAGGCGCGGGGCCGTTGTACCGGATACCGCAGGGCAGGAGCTGGGCCTGCAACGGGGCCGCGGCACCGGAGCCAGGCCGCAACCGCACCGCTTCCGCCGCCGCCATGGCAACACTGCCGGAAGCGGAAGCAACGTCTGACGTGCGAGGCGTAATGCGGCGTAACGTGGCGTGGGGCATGATGGGAGTTGTAGTTTTGAGGGTAACAAGGAGGTCAATAGGGAGAGGGATGGAGCCATGGATCCGGATACCCTCATAACCACATATGGGTCCCAAATGACGTCACAACCCTGGTGGGGAACCCCCTATGACGTCACAACTCTTGTTGTTGGAATTTCCACCCCCACAAGGGGGCTTCTATGACGTCACTGCCCTAGTGGGAACCCGTGACGTCATGACGCCAATAGGAACACAGACACCACCCTACCCCCCCACTGGAGGATTCCCTATGACGTCACTGCCGCGCTTGGGTGACATCACAGCAGCAGTGGGGACTCCCCCACCCAGTGACGTCATAACTCCACTGGGACCCCCCCACCCCACGTGGGTCCTGTCTGACGTCACAACCGCTACAGGGATTACCCCATGCCAAAGCATGTGTCCCCCCCCCGTGACGTCACAACCACTGAGGGGGTTCCCCCCACTGACGTCACTGAAAGTCACACCCCCCCCCCCCCCCAGTCCCACGTGGGTTGCCCCCTCCTCCCCCCCCCCGGCGCTGTCGCGACAGAGTCGGGGTGGGGGGTGCCGCCACAGGGAACCAATGGCTGAGCCTGAACCCACTCCCAGCCCCGCCCTTCCCTCCACGTCACCACCGCCCTGCAACGCCATTGGCCGAGCCTGCGGGACCCTCCCCCTACGCGCGGGTGAGACCATTGCGGTGTGTGTGTGGGGAGGAGGGGTGGGTTAGCCACGCGGGGTCACACAGGGGTCACGGGCGTGTCCCAGGGAGGCTTTAATGGTCGGTACCGTACAGCCGAGGCGCTAAGCCCCGCCCACCGCGTGACGTCACCCCGCCCATGTGACATCACTAATACGGGGGGGGTGGGGGGTAGGAAGAGCCTATAGGATCCATATGATCCCACCCCATCACCCCCCCCCCCCTTAGGGGGCAGGGTCGTGGCTCCACCCCCTCTACCCCTATAGCCCCCCCCCAAACAACCCCTATATCCCCATATGGGGGGGGGGGCAAAGCATCTGTCACCCCCCCCCCCACCCTGGGGCAGTTTAGAGGCTCTGCCCCACCCCCCCCATGGGTGCTATAGGGGCTCATGCTGCATGTAAAAAACCCCACTCCCTTATGTACATATTTACACACAGGGCACGTATAGGGACCCACAGGGATGGGGGGGGGATAGGGGCAATCCTGAGCGGTGCTGGATGTGCCGGGAGGAGCGAGGTGTGAGTAACCTCGGAGTAAAGTGTGAGTAAAGCCAGAGCAACCCCATGCTTAAGGCTGGAATGGGGCCTTGGGGTGTCTCGAAGCTCAAGGGGAGTCACCCTTGCGTGGAATGGGAGTAACAACGTGTGAGTAACCCCGGAGTAACAACCCTCTAACCACCTATGAGTAGCTGTGAAGGGTGCCGTTGGCACCCATTGTAACCCTAACGTAGCGCCTTGCATTGGGGTGACCAGTGAGTAACCCTGGAGTAAGAACCCTCTAACGACCTATGAGTAGCTGTGAAGGGTGCCATTGGCACCCATTGTAACCCCAGAGTAGCGCCCTGCATTGGGGTGACCAGTGAGTAAACCTGGAGTAACAACCCTCCAAGAAGCTGTATCTTGAAGGGTGCCATTGGCACCCATTGTAACCCCAGAGTAGCGCCTTGCATTGGGGTGATGGGTAAGTAAAACCAGAGTAACAACCCTCCAATAACCTATGAGTAACCCTGGAGCAACAACCAATGAGTAACCGTGCAGTAACAACCCTCCAACGACCTGTGAGTAACCCAGGAGTAACAACCCTCAACCAACCTATGAGTAACCCTGAAGGGAGCCATTGGCACCCATTGTAACCCCAGATCAGCGCCCTGCATTGGGGTGATGGGTGAGTAACCCTGGAGTAACCCAATAGTAACCCTAGCTTGGAGTAACGCTTGTGTGGCCATAGAGTATGTAGTAACCTGTGAGTAAGGAGTATTCCACCCATCAGCGTATTGGATAACCCCAAGGGGAGCTATGACCTGGAGTAGTGGCTGAGTAACTTCAGCATCAAGAACATGGAGTAACTCCAAGCAACCAACGTAAGGGCTGAGTAACCTTGGAGTAACAACTGTGAACCCCCAATGGGCTTGAATACACCCTGGGGGGGGTGGGGGGGGAAGTACCTTGCTCGGAGTAAAGAAGCAAAGCAAAGTGCGTGTATCCATGGAGTATCCTTGGAGAAAGGGCTTGGCCAAAGACCTGGCGCAAGGCAATGGTGTAAAGTGTGAGTAAGTCGTGCAAGGAGGGGGGCTTTGTATCGCTGCGTAGGAGCAAACAAGGTGCCATTGTGTGACCCTAAAAGCCCTCTAGGGCTGGCCCCCTAAGGCCTTAGGAACCTCTGAGTAAGGCCTGAGACCCTCCTGAGTCCCACCTATGAGTATGGAGCACGTCAGTGTCGAGAGGACCTCCTCACTGAGTAAGATGGGGTTTGTGTAGCGCTGGAGTAGGGCGGTGGGGATGAGAGAACCTGGGATTAAAGCCATAAATAGGGAAAAGCTCTGAGTAAAGGCTGAGTAAAGGCTTTGCCAAGGAGCTGGGCAAGGGATGGGAGCAGCAAGGCTGAGTAAAAGCAGAGTAAAGGCCAAGTAAAGCGAAGGGGGTGGGGGGGGAGAAGGGAAAGGGGGCATCAATAAAGCACCAAATCACCCCAAAGGCAGAGCTGAGTAAACCCAGAGTAAGGCCCCCCCCATGGGTAACCCTGACTAGGAGCAAATAAGCTCAACGTAAGGGCTGAGTAAACTCAGAGCAAGCCCCCCCCCCTCCCCAAAATTGGGTAACTGAAGAGCAACCAATCACTGCATAACCCTAAGGTAAGGTGGGAGTAAGCTCAGAGTAAGCCCCCTGAGCACCAATGGGCAAGGGGCAGCCCCATGCTGAGTAGTGACTGAGTAACCAAGGAGTAGAAGCCGACAGCAAGGGAGTAAAGGCTGAGTAAGGCTGGAACAGGGCAGGAGCGGCCCCACAGCTGCCTTGGTGTAAAGGGGGAGTAGGGCCTGAGTAACCCTGTAGTAACATGGGAGTAACCATGGACCAAGCCCCCCACCCCCCCCATAGCCCCACGGACCAAACCCCCCCCCAAGTAACCCTGGAGTAAAGTGTGAGTAACCTCAGAGGAAGCTCAGAAGGGGACCCCCCCCCCAAAACTGCCCCCATTGTAGCCCCACCCCCCACTAAGCCCCCACCCTGGGGGGGGAGGGGCCAATATAGACTCTTCTTTATAATATTGCCTTGAAAAAATAAAACTCGAAGGAAATGGGGGAGGGGGGGCCCCAAAATCGAAGGACCCCCCCCAAAAAATAGGGGGGGGGCACTCCCCATAACAAAGGATTCCCCATGGAATCCCCCCCAAATCCAGCAGCAGCTCTTCGGGGGGGGGGGTGTAGTAACACTTTGGGGGGATCCCCCTTTAGTTCTAGGGTGCCCCCCCCAAATCCATTTTGGGGGTGCCCCCCCCTCAGTTTGGAGCAGATATGCCCCAGCTTTGGGGGTCAACATCCCCCCTGCCCCCCCAGTGTTGGGGGGGGTCCCATGGCGTTGCAGCAGCGATCCAAGGGCTGTGGGGAGAGGAAAGGGTTAAGGGGGGGGCGCCTAAAACTTAATTCCACACCCCCCCCTTGGAGAGTCATCCCCTCCCCCCTATTTTAGGGCTCCCCCCACTTTGTGGGGGGGAAAGGCTCATTTTTGGGGCTGTTTCCCCATCTTTTGGGGAATTTTCTTCCTTTTAGGGGGGGTTGTACCCCAGGTTTGATCTATTGGGGGGTCCATGGGGGGGGGGGGGGCACCGAGATGTTGGGGGTCCCTTACCGGCTCAGTGTCAGAACACAGTGTCAAGCACCCGGAAGGCAGAGGAACCTGTGGGGGATCAAAAAAGGGGGGGGGCTTAGGGGAAACCCCAAAAATAGGAAGGATCCCCAGAAATGTGGGGGGGGGCATGGGGGGGGTGGGGCATAGTTTTGGGGGGGATCCAGTTTTGGAAGGGTCCTGGATGCTGAAGGGGGAGTCTGGGTTTGGGGGGGAAGGGGGGGGTCCCCATTTTGGGGGTGCTGACCTGGGGGGGGCAGCGTGGCCGAGCGCAGCCCTGGCTCCTTCTGCAGCTGGATCTCCTTCAGCGCGAAGATGGAGGTGGCTGCATATGGGGGGGGGGATTTGCATAAGGGGTGTGGCCAAACACAAGCCACGCCCATAAAGGACCTCCCCTCCCACCCACACTTAAGCCTGGCCCAATGCTCCCCAGCCCCAACCAATGGGATCCACCCCCTGCTCCAAGATTCCACCCACACAGGCCACACCCCCACCAAGCCCCGCCCCCTGAAACACCACCCACAACCCCACATAAACCCCTCCCACTTTAAAGTCACCGGACACCGCCCAAAGCCACGCTCCCTTTAAGCCCCTCCCACAACCCAATTTATAACCCCTCCCACTATAACCCATCCCACAAAGCCACGCCCCCTCAAGGCCCCCACCTTCGAAACCACGCCCCCTCATGAAGCCACTCCCACAACCCCATTGAACCCTTCCCACTCTAAGACCCTCCTCCTTTAAGCCACGCCCCCTGTAAGCCCTTAGACCCCGCCCACTTTACGCCAATGCCATAACCCCTGAAGCCCCGCCCTCAACCCTACTTAAACCCCTCCCACTTTGAGCCATTGGGCATTGCACAAAGCCACACCCCCTCTCAGATCTGTCCTGGAAGCCACGCCCCCTACCTGAAGCCATTCCCACAACTCCCATTGAACGCTTCCCACTTTATGCCCCGCCCCCTTTAAGCCCTTAGACCCCGCCCACTTTCCCTTACCCCGACGCCACACCCCCCGAAGCCCTGCGCTCAACCCCACTTAAACCCCTCCCACTTTAACCCATTGGACATCCCCCAATCACACCCACACCCCCTTGAAGCCCTGCCCACAACCCCCATTGAACCCTTCCCACTCTAAGCCCCACGCCCTCTAAGCCCCGCCCCCTTTAAGCTCCGCCCCCTCCCCCGGACCCAACCACTCACTGTCGGGCAGGGTGGTGACGCGGGGCCCCAGGCAGGCGAAGAACGGATGCGCCATGGCCTCAGCTGCCGGCAGCCGCCGCCGCCCCTCGAACTGCCCCGCCCACATTAGGACACGCCCATCGAGGGGAGGACACGCCCCATTGTGGGCGTGGCCCCACCAAGCTCCGCCCTCCTCCCCATTATCACCCCCCTCTGCGCATGCAATGGTTGGGTCTATGTAGGAGGGGGTGTGGTTAAAGGGGCGGGGTTTGTGGGGGAAGGGGCAGGGCTGTGGGTGGCCACGTCCCCTCCCCAACCTCACCTGCAGCAGCTGCCCCAGCAGGTCAGCACCATCCTGGTCCAGCCTGGGGGGGGGAAAGGGGAAGTCAGGCACCCCCCACTTGCTGCTATGGGGCAGAGCTATCCTCTATGAGGCACATACCCACACACTACCCCCCACTATGGGGCAGAACCATCCTCTATAGGGCAGATACCCACACCCCAACCGCCTCTATGGGGCAGAGCCATCCCCTATAGGGCAGATACCCACACCCCAACCGCCTCTAAGGGGCAGAACCATCCTCTATGGGGCACATACCCACACCCTAACCCCCTCTATGGGGCAAAGCCATCCCCTATGAGGCACATACCCACACCCTAACCCCTCTATGGGGCAGAACCATCCTCTATGGGGCACATACTCACACCCTAACCCCCTCTATGGGGCAGAGCCAACCTCTATGGGATCAATACCCTCCTATGGGGAACCCCCCCTCCCCCCTAAGGACCACCTCCCCCTTGCTATGGGGCAGACCGTGGCGCGTGGTGCAGCAGCCCCTCGGGGGGGTACGGGGGGTACTTGTGGGCCCGGAACTCGGCGTTGGCCCCGATCCCCGGCCACGTCTCCTCCGTTGGGGTCCCTGTGTGGAATGGGGGGGGGGGGGGGGTAAGGAAGAGGACCCCAAAACCCCTCTGGGACCCCAAATCTCTTTCTTTTACCCTAAAGCCCCTTTTTTCACCCCAAAATTCCCCTTTCATGCCCCAAAATCCCTTGGAATTTGCCCCAAAATCTTCTGATTTCTCCCCAACTTTCCCCCTCCCCAAACCCCTTCCATTTCCCCTCGAAACCCCCCAAATCCCCCCCAAACCCTCTTTAAATTGCTCCCCAACCCCTTCCTTTCCACCCCTCCCCCCGTTCTTTACCCTAAACCCCCTTCTTTCACCCCAAAACCCCCCTTTTTCACCCCCAAAATCCCTTGAAATTCCCCCAAATCTTCCAATTTCTCCCCAAATTTTCCCCTCCCCAAACCCCTTCAATTTCCCCTCAAAACCCCCATATTTTGCTCCCAATCCCCCCCAAACCCTCCTCAAACTGCCCCCAACTGGCCCTAAAACCCTTCCTTTACACCTCTCCCCCTGTTCTTTACCCTAAATCAGCATTTTTCACCCCAAAAATCCCTTAAAATTCCCCCAAATCTTCCAATTTCTCCCCATATTCCCCCCTCCCCAAACCCCATTTCCCCTCAAACCCCCCAAATTCTGCTCCCAATCCCCCCCAAAACCTCCTCAAACTGCCCCCAACTGGCCCCAAACCCCTTCCTTTACACCTCTCCCCCCTTTCTTTACCCTAAACCCCCTTTTTTCACCCCAAAAATCCCTTGGAATTCCCTCAAATCTTCCAATTTCTCCCCAAATTCCCCCCTCCCTAAAACACTTCCGTTTTCTCTCAAAACCCCCCAAATTTGCCCCCAAATCCCCCCAAACCCTCTTTAAATTACTCCCCAACCCCTTCCTTTCCACCCCTCCCCCCTTTCTTTACCCTAAACCCCCTTCTTTCACCCCAAAACCCCCCTTTTTCACCCCCAAAATCCCTTGGAATTTTCCCCCAAGTCCTCCAAATTCTCCCCAACTTTCCCCCCCAAAACCCTTCCATTTCCCCTCGAAAAACCCCAAAGTTTGACCCAAATCCGTCCCAAACCCTCTTCATACTGCCCCCCAACTGGCCCCAAACCCCTTCCTTTACACCTCTCCCCCCTTTCTTTACCCTAAACCCCCATTTTTCACCCCAAAAATCCCTTGAAATTCACTCAAAATCATCCAATTTCCCCCTCCCCAAACCCTTCCATTTCCCCTCAAAACCCCCCCGATTTTCCCCCAAATCCCCCCCAAACCCCCATCAAACCGCCCCAAACCCCTTCCTTT